CACCGCTCCGAGCCGAGCCGAGCCGAGCCGAGCCAGGCCAAGCCGGGCCGCCCGCACCGCCCGCTCTTTATTTGCGGATTCTCTGCGCTACAAAATGGCGCCCAAGGAGGAAATGAGAGCCCGGCCGCCCCGCCCCTCCCCTCCCCACAGCGCCGGGACTACTTCCCTCCCCCCGCCGCTTTGGGCGCTGCCCGCTTGTGGGGCTGCGCCCGGCATGCTGGGGCGGCGCGGAGGGATACGGCCGCCGGCGCGAACCACCTGCCGGAGTGAGAGCGCGGGTGGAATGACACAGGGATGGGATTGGACCCTTTACTCCCCCGCGGTGGAGCTGGGGCGCCACGCAGGAGCGGGAAGAGTGGTGTTGATAACTTCCTCAGCCCGATGAAGGGTATTCGTACCTAAAAGCTTGCAAAGAAGAATTTTTTTCCTACTATTTAAGTTGGTCTAATAAAAGACATCAGATTTATGCAAAGAACCTCATCTGCCTTGGGCAAGGCAATGGCTCCAGTGTCTAGCTCGGCGCGAGCTTGGACCTGGCCTTTTCCCTGTGTGGCACCATTGATCTCAACGTTTTGGCCCTACAAAAGCAGTGTGGAGCCAGCCCACCCCCCTGCCGATGAGCAGCTCTATTCTGCTAGGCTTCCCACAGGTTGGGAAATTTGGCAGTCGGCTGCCAGCGCCCCCCTACTGCTAGTTTTTTTTGGGGGGGGGAGAGAGCCCAGTGGGCTGGGTGATGTGGCTGTGCAGGCTGGATCTGGACCCCACAGCACAGGTTGAGCGCTTTTGCTGTATGCCAGTGGTTCCCAATCTGTGGCGCACACAGCACCAGCGGCATGTAGACAACCTGTCAGTGGCACGTGTTAACAGATTTATTATAATTATAGGACAAAACTTTACTGGTGGTACTTAAGGTCATTTCCAGCTCCTAACAAGCTAGGAATGAGGTTGAACTGAAAAATTTGCTGGTGGTACTTAAGATTGTATCATTTTAAGTTGGTGATGCATAATCTGTCAAAGTATGGGAACTGCTGCTACATGCATTTTTCCCCGGGGTTGGGCATGCAGCAGTCACTTTGGCCTGCCTATGTGCAACATGCCAGGCAGCAAGTTGTGCAAGGAGATACTGCAATCCCAAAGTGGAAGGCACTGAAACATTTCTGTGGGGTCCAGATGCTGGAAAGCCATCTTCCTAAGTGAAGCCCACATCAGTCTGTAAAAGCAGCTGTGCAGAGGAAACTGCCTTCTCAGACAGATGTTGTGTGGTTCCGGGTTTTTTACCCGTGTCCTGCACCCCCCTTGCCCATTTTTGCTGTGCTGGGTGTGTCACTACATTCCTCCTCCCAGCTGCTTTGATCCCAGGAGCAGTTCAGTCTGTATCACAGTAATTAACACATGAAAGAAGTGAATTGTGTGGGACAGCATCAAGGGAGTTGAGATGTACAGGCCAGGGAATTATACCCAATGTTAATAAGGCAATCCTCAGAAAGAACAATAGTCACCAGCCATGGCTGAGTTTCCCTGCTCCCTACTGACTCAGCCAAGAGATCCTCATGTTAGAGGAATGGGCAGGAATACATAAAATCTGAAAGTGAATAGTATAACTGTATCCCCAATCTTCCTCCCCACCCCTCCTACATGTGCACGCACACACAGGTGTGGGAGTCTGGAACTTGCCTTAAACAATAAGAACAGATCCTCAAGGCCCCGAGACCTCATCACCAGGTACAGCAATGAAATCACAAACATGCTTGCCATGTAGCTGCTCTTATTAATATTGCCTGATGGACAACATCCCCATGAACTGGTGTACAATTTGAAGGAACTTGCTTTGGCTTCCCTTGTATTTATTCAAGCAAAATAAACACCCAGGATGTCTCTGGGAGCTAACGCCAGTAATTGTTTAATCAGAGCTGCCTAGTTGACGAGTAAATGTGTTCCTCGTGATACAAGGGACAAAGGTTCTGCTGGCCTAAATGCATCCGATGCTTGTGCAGCCAGGTTGCATGACTGCGAGGACTCTCTGGTAGTGATGCAGAAGGAACTTATCCGCTTTCTGTTGTTGACTCTGTGGTATTACTGGGAGTGAAATACTACAGAGCTAAAGCAGCATAAACATTTGTCGCTAGAGGGCATATGACACACAGGAGATGGTTCTGTTAGTAAAAAGTGGTTATTTCCTTATTCAGTTTTCAGAGCATTACTCCACTTTAAATTACTTGACAGTGTCGCACTAAAATATTTCAGGGAAATGCATCACATGTCCTCAAAAATATTTAAATCAAAATGTTGTGTCACAGATTTAAAGTCGTGTTTCATTCTTTAGGACTTCAGAAACTGAAGCAGAAGAGATGCCGCATTTTGCTTGCTCTCCTTTTCCCTGACCATTCCACCACACCTGCCTTGCAAATGTTCATTAAAGATGTCCAATTCTGTATTCATTGGTAGTGTGTGATGGGGTATACTATATAGTCTGAAGGCTGCTATGTTGTAGGCACAGCCCTTGATAGGAACACCAAGGTAGTAAATAGAATACTTCTAGATTTGTTCATGCAACAGTGAGGTGGACAGAGGATAATTCTACAAGTGCAAAAAGAAAATTTGCCAGCTTGTTTATTTAACCCTACAGGATAAGTTCAAATGAGATAATTAGTTGGGCAGAATGAGAGTGAGCCAGGTAAATATAGAAGTGTAGTATTAATTTGGATAAGCTCTTAATATTCCTCCTGCCTTCATATTTTCTGTCCCTTCAAATTACAAAAGGTATAAATGTAAAAAAGCATCAAGGTCTATCACTTGTCATTTTTGAAAGACACACTAGAATAAAATCTCTAAGGTCTAGACTTAGGAACAGGCACATTACTCGGCAAATCACTCTGTAGAACAAGGCCCAATTTCAGTTGCAGCTTCTTGGTCCTATGATAGTACAAATAAAACGCAATGCAACATATTCATTCTTCATGTGTAAGTAGAATAAACTACTATAATTTTTTTTTTAAGTTTGCTGTTGCCCCCTCCTCCCCCCACTCACGTGCAAACAAAAGTATGCAATGGAGAATAGGTCTAGATTTGTCTCTTGCCACAGAATATTCATACATTTGCATAACAGCAGACGTGCAAGGATTTAAAAAAAAAAGTGTCGAGAGTGGAAAAGGAACACCAATAAAATGCTCCCACAAATTAAATGCAGAAAAAGATACCGTTAAACATTTTACTTCTAGGAAGCACAATAGTGTTGCAACATTAGTAGTTTTATACTTCTGCAGTATAGTGTGGTTTTTACCCCCCACAGTTGTTCAAGATGCATTAGTGAGATCAGATGATGCATTTAAAAAACAAAACTCTCTCTCTGTGCACCTGCTTTTCATGGCAAAGTTGGGAAATGTACTGAATAAATCACATTGTGGCCCTAGAAGAGTCAGGAAGTATGCAGCATCCACTATTCCAAGGTGGGTCCCAAAAAATTACTAACCAAATACTACCTTGCTTAGCTTCCAAGGTCAGTCTGGTTCTGTGGGATATGGTTATTGACAGTCTGAATACTGCTTTTAATCTCCTCAGCCTGTTATAGGTTCTACGAATGCTGGACCTGCACATTAATCCAATTATCCTACTGCTAAGGAGCTTGAGCATGAGCACTTCTTTCTTGCTCAGCTTTGTTTTGCTTTTAATTTTTCAACATAGAGACCAATTAAACACAAAACATGTTAAAATACATTTTAAAATGTGTCAATAAAAGAGTGATTTTATGCCCAGAAAAAGTATCTTAAGGTTCTGTTACTATTATTCTCCTGTTCTCACCTAATTTCCTCTTCCTTCTGGTTCCTTAGTTCAGCTGGTACCGCCCTTTTTTGTGCCTGGTGTTCACAGTCTTAAACAGCGCCTACTGGCTGCCAAATCTGACAAAGCTAGAAGTGTCATTATAAATAAAGTACTTGAATGGGGTGGTTGGATTCACTGAGTAGCCAAGAGGGGAGCTATTGGGCTCTGAGCACACCTTTGCTACAGTTGAATTGTATGGCCAGAAACTAGCATTTTAAGAAGTGCAGCTATGTACCTGGGACAAATTTACAAATAAGAATAGTTTCATAGTTTCTAGGGTCGGAAGGGACCTGAGCAGATCATCTAGTCCGACCCCCTGCCATGGCAGGAAGAGCACTGGGGTCAAATGACCCCAGTAAGGTGGTCATCCAACCTCCTCTTAAAAACCCCCAGGGTGGGAGCCTGCACCACCTCACTTGGAAGCTGGTTCCAGACTCTAGCCGCCCTGACCGTGAAGTAGCGCCTCCTGATGTCCAACTTAAACCTTCCCTCTGCCAGCTTGTGACCAACCATAGTTGGGCCCAGTTAAGATTTATATGGTGCTGTCAATCGTCATGAATTTTGAACATATGAGTCTGGCCCACAAGAACAGGTTTCATTTTAGAATCAAGAAATGAAGTACGAGTTTTAGATCCTTTTTAAAATTGCCTGAATCTGGAGTCCTTGAAGTGCATATTGTTCATGTGTCGAGGCTCTCTCCACTACAGCAGTTTTAAATGCAGTAACATGAACCCAGAGAGAATGCATTTCTTAAAATCCTACATTTTAAGAAATGAGACTTAGGAAGACATTGCAAGACATGAAGGCAATTGTCTTAGCTTAGGTAGACCATGAACAGCTGAGAAAGCAAGACAAAAAAGTGCCATTCAGAAGATAAAAACATGAAAAACAACCTGTCAACTGGGGAAGCTTCCAACAGAAAGCGATGCAAGGATAAGTCTAGAATGCTTACCTGGAGCCTTCAGACAACAAAGCTGTGGAAGAAACAGGAAGAGACAGGC